GAGTCAGGGTCTCACTCAAAAGAGGAAGACTTTTAGTCTATCAATTCATAGAAGAAGGCAGGACAGCTCAGAGATGTATGGAGATAACTATCCTTTTCAAAACTCTCACTGGCTTCCCACTGACCACAGGATAAAGTCTAAAGTCTAAAACCCTTAACATGATTGATGTAGTTCTTGGCTGCCTGGCTTCAGGTCAACTTTTTTTTTTTTTTTTTTTTTTTGAGTTGGAGTCTCACTCTGTCACCCAGACTGGAGTGCAGTGGCCGCTCCTCGACCTGCTGGGCTCCGGCGATCCTTCCGCCTCAACCTTCCAAGTAGCTGGAACTACAGGCGCGCGCTACCACGCCTGGCTCATTTTTGATTTATTGTAGAGATGAGGTCTCGCCAAGTTGCCCAGGCGGGTCATGAACCCGCAGGCTCAGGCAATCCACTCACCTCAGCCTCCCAAAGGCACGGGATTACAGGCTGAGCCACCGAGCCCGGCTAGCTCAACCTTTTTGTTTTGTTTTAAATCTCTTCCTTGAACCTACTCTGGCCTTATTTAAATACTTCAAATGTGCCAAATTCTATTTCCTTTGAGCCCCTCTGGGCGACCTTCCTTCTCCCCTAACCCCTTTTTCCAACTTTTACTCCTTCAGTTCTCCACGTAGATGGTAGTTTCCAAAGGAAGGAAGACTCTCCTTATCCTCCAGATGATATGGCCCTCTTTGTTCTGTGCTCTTACAGGACTCTGTGCTTCTATGTCATAAAACTGCCTCATTTGTTTCTCTTACTGAACCATTACATTCCCTGAGAGCAGGAACTGGGCACTTTGTTCACCTCTGCACAAACAAATGTCACTCAAATTCTATTTACATGAAGCTTCTTCCTTTAAAAGTCAAATAAGAACTAACAAGATAATTTCCAGATAGTTAGCCTTTGACAATGACAATATCCTTTTGAAAACAGAACCTTTATTATCCTTTCTGCAGCTTTTAAAGGCAAAGAAACTAAAAGCTGAAACAAGCGTGGTGTGGTGGCCTATGCCTGTAACCCCAGCACTTTGGGAGGTCAAGGCAGGAGAACTGATGGAGCCCAGGAATTCGAGACCAGCCTAGGCAACATAGTGAGACCCTGCCTCTACAAAAAATAAAAACTAGGTATGGTGGCATGCACCTCTAGCCCCAGCTACTTGGGAGGCTAAGGCAGAAGGATCACCTGAGCCCTGAAGATCAAGACTATGGCAAGCCGTGATTGTGCCACTGCACTCCAGCCTGGGCAACAGAGCGAAAGCCCAACTCAAAAAAAAAGAAAGAAAAAAACTAAAAGCAGAAACATGGGGTTTATGTCTTCATAACTTTTCACTGGAAAAAAATTAGATTTCTCCTTCTTTATCACATGTTGGCCCTCTGTGGATTTTATTCACCTTAAAGTTTTAAGATTCTAGCCTGTCACCAACATGACTTCTACCAAAAGTTAAAAACTCTATTTTTCATCACCTAATACCAAATCACAAGTCTGAGTCACACAACAAACCAGCTGAGTCACTTCTTCTGGCATGAAATGCAAAATAGCATAATAGGAACTTAGTAATATCTCCATTCACAAAACCAGCATCAAAGCAGCAGTTCTGACCCTGGCCATGAATTGTCCAGTTGGCTGCTCAGAGTAATGTGTCAACCTTCCTGCTGATCAAGAACTTGGAGACTGGCTGGCCAAGCAATATGCCAAAGATTTCCAGGCATGAATAGAAAGAAAATTGCATTTTACATTCAGTTTCTTTTAATCTATGTTGTAATTCTGGAAAGCCCAGGCACCTACTTAAAATGTCCCAGAGATAAACATGATGGAATGATGCGTACATGTCATTAACACAATTGGGTTCAATGTGACAACCAGACTGGAGCAGACTGCAGATTTGCACAGATAATCACCATCTCCCTAAAGGGACGAAAATTAATCTTTCGGGGATGGGATACGGGAAAGGGGACCAGCATTAGCACAGAGGAAAGTGCTGGGGAAATGGGTACTAAGTTTCTGGTATGCCAGGGGCAAACATTAGTACCCTGACTTATTTCAAGGCAATCTCCCTCCTGGTGGGGAAGCCTCGCCACAGTAACAGGCAAGGGAGCCAGGAGAAAGTATTGAGATATCTCTGTTTGACAATTGTTCACATGCCAGAAATAAAGTTGGGAGCAATATCATGAAGGGTTCAATTATGAGATGGGGCAAAGAAAACTGAAAATATCTACTTCTATGGTTCGAATGCCTGTGTCCACCCAAAATTCAAATCAAAATGTAATCACCAATATGATGATATATATTAAGAAAAGTCGCTGCACTCCTCCTCTTCATCTTCTCTTCCCTTTCTTTTCTGCACAATCTAGTTCAAAAGTTACTAGGGGCTAAACAAGATGGTGCCTGCAGTGGGGCTGGGAGGAGCCACAGTGGCGTGTGCTGTAGCCACAGCAGCATGGGCAGGGGACAATGGTGGCGCATAATAGGGTGTTGGGGCCTGAGTGGGGTAAGGAGGGTATTGGTGAAGGGGGGGTAGCAGTGGCCATGCAGAAAGTGATGTTGGAGCCCAGGTATGGTGAGGAAAACAGGAGATTGGTTACTTGGCGGGGGGTACTGATTAAATAATAAATATACTGAAGATAATAAAGACCAAGTATCTTGTTGTCAAGAAGGTGGTTACAAATATGGAAAGGGAGAAAATGTGAATGAGCCTTGTATTAATTTAGAACTAAAAGATATCAAGATGAACCCATGGTTTTCAAGAGAAACAGGTGTGTATAATCTCTAATTCTGTCCACTGAGAAAACCCAGGAGCAGTAACAAATTCAGTAGCAATGAACATACCTAACACCCAGATCTTGACTTGTAAATACTGCTCTCCACTAAAAGGAACTAATGCTCTTTGGAAAAATAGCTGATTTCAGGGCTAGCAAAGTATACAATGAAACTGAAACATTTTATGATGCCAGAAAGTAAGGAAGCACTCAAAGAATAATGAGGACATCCAAAAAGGACACAGAAGTTAGACTGAAAGGGCTCTCATGAGGTTTTCTGAACAAATTGTGGATAAAAATCACCAAAGAAATTATTACGACCCATTGGATATAATAGGAAACCGTAAGACTATACTGACACAAATTAATCAATGAATAGATTTAAAGTTTGATAAAGAGTGGGGTGAAAAATTACATAATACCAAAGTAATTTCCCACAAAATATTAATTAATTATAAAAGGAAAAGTAACTTTATTGTTTAGAAGACTGGCAGACACTCCCTCAACTGAGTGACCAAAATTAGTATCAAGCAGAGTTAACACCTGTCCCCATTATGGGACAAACAGACATCATGTGTTGCCTGTTTGGATACAGTGAGAACATGGCTTCAATTCTTTAGTATCCCTACCAAAAATGCACAACCTAAACATAATCATGTGAAAGCATTGGACAGACTCAAATTAAGGGGTAGTCTACAAGAGTAGGGGTTGGGGGCACCGTGTTGGCAATTTACTCTCAAATAGTTTGGAACAAAAAGATGTTTGTACTGTACTTGGGAACTTTTCTTTAGGTCTGAGATTCTTTCAATTTTTTTTTTTTTTTTTGAGTTGGAATCTCACTCTGTCACCCAGACTGGAGTGCAGTAGCACACTCCTGGTCACTGCAGCCTCGACCTGCTGAGCTCCGGCGATCCTTCGCCTCAGCCTTCCAAGTAGCTGGAACTACAGGCGTGCACTACCACGCCTGGCTAAATTTTTATTTTATTGTAGAGATGAGGTGGCACCAAGTTGCCCAGGTGGGTCTTGAACCCGCGAGCTCAGGCAATCCACTCACCTCAACATCCCAAAGCACTGGGATTACAGGCTGAGCCACTGAGCCCGGCTCAAAATTTAAAAATTATAAGAGTGACCTTGTGTCATTGTAGATTTGATGGAAGCCACGTGTCAAGATGAGCCCAAGATTTGGATGGACCAAGTTAAATACCAACAATTATACAATAGTGAAATACTTAAATTTTCTCTGGTGAAGGATCAGTCATTCCTCCTCTCCTCCAAATCTGTTGTGGACCAATACTTTTGTAAAACACAAATCCCAAACGGATTTCAGGACAATATCAAGCCGCTATGAGAACTTCCAAATGCTTACTCTTAGTGTTTGGACTCATCTCACAATGGAGCAGAAACAAACCAATCCTGGACTAGCTCAGACCATACTTTGAGCAGCACCAATTGCCATCACATCCTCATGGGAAATTAAAAACTACCGGTTCCTGGTTATTCACAAAGATAGCAACAATAATTACCATTCCATTAACATCAACCACCTATACAAAGTCTTCAAGATAGGGACCACCCAAACAATATAAGAGGATTAAAGATCTGCCTTTGTTTACAAAATTCAACGTCTCTAAATGGGTCACATGACACGAATGGATAAGACCACCCCAAAGTAGTTGCTCTGTGGCAACTTAAAGGAAGACAAACCCAATGACACAAAAGATGGACAAAAACATTTTCCATGGGTCAATCTGCAACACCGAGTCACAACCACCACTGCTGGGAAGAGACCCAGCATTCAGAAGGGGTTAGTAGAGCACATCCCTAATTAGATGGGCTTAACTATAGATAGTGAGAGTCAAGCTATTGACTCAATACAGTTCACACATTGGTTGTCTCTGGTTAGTTCTATGCCCCAAACACTCCCTCCCCTCAGCCAAGAGGAAGCCCTTCAAATAAAAAAGAACAATTCTGTGTAATAAACCAAAACCAAAGCAGATGACAAGAAAGAGCTATTGCATCTGCTGGAAAGTGGCAAACTCCATCCAGGCTTGGAGTTCTTCTAAAGGACACAAGGGAACTCCTGTTGCACATCACCAAATACTGGAATTCTTGTGCCAGTGCCCGCCACCCTCCAGCACTTGTTCCAGACACACACAGAAACCCGTAAGCTGGCATCAACAATGGTAGATTTCCACAGCATCTGTCTCTGGTATGAGGCGCCTCACTTACCTGGAGCAGTTTTGTAGCATGTTCTAGAGGGCAGCGATGGGGCGTTCTTTGCCCTGGGGCTCTGTGTACTCTGCAAGACTTGTCTCTGCCTCTTTAGCTCCTCTTCCCTTTCCTGAGCTGCTCGAATCTCTTCTTCGATCATGGACAGAGTCCGCTGTTTCCTTGACCTCAGCTTGAAGGGCCCAACCATCACGTCAGATTCTTGAGTGGCCAGGAGGGAGGCTGTGCTTCTCAGCTCGGCTGCCTCCGAGTACTTGCTGAAATAGCTCCCTTCGGGCCTGGTCTCCTCCATATTTATTGGGCCACTGGGCTGCACAGATGGCAGTGGTTGGGGAGGCCCCCTTTCCCTGAGCGCCCTGTCTTCAGCAGGCAGAATCTTTGGTAATACATCCCTTTTCTCTTGAACAGGAGAAGACACCTGAGGTGGCTCAAACATACTCTGAGGCTTCTCTGGGCTGGAGGCCTCTGTTTCGGCTTCCTCCAGGGTCGCTTCAGGTCCCTGCTGCTCTGCCCCAATCTTGCTGGTTTTGGACACAGCTTTATCTACCTGCTCAGCTATGGCTTGTTGAATGGCATTCTGTACCAGGAGACCAGCCTGATATTCCAAGGGGTCATCAACTGATGGAGAGTCTCCCAGTGTAGAAGAAGGGGAATAGAAACCATGATCACTAAATGACTTAGAAACACCTCCTCGGCTCTCTGAGGGGTTGTCAGTTTGTGGAGTCTGGGGCAGAGAAAAATCAGCCAGCGAATTTTCCTGGAGGGCATTGGTTGTCTCATTGGAGGCCCCGCTGTCACTGATGTTGTCCATGCTGAAATCATTGGACAGGGTCTCCAAGACCGTAGTATCCTGGGACCTCACTGACAATTCATCCAAACCAGAGTCAAGCTCCTCTTGGGTCAAGGAGACATTGACCGATCTTGAAAACTGATCCAAAATCCCATGGTCGTCATCCTTGACAACGGTGAGGATGGCCCGGGCGCTCGTAAACTCTCCATCCTCTGCCCACAGTTTAGACAAGGGCCCACGCTTAGATGGCTCACTGTAGGGCCCTTCCTTCCCCTGAGGGGCTGTGGTGCCCTGGCCTCCTCCCACTGACTGGCTCTCCAGGGTGCAGGAGACTTTCTGCCCCTTGGCTGTGGATGCACCACTGTCTTCAGGAAGTCCCCCGACAGAAGCTGGTCTGGAGACGGTCAGTGGCTTGTCCAAGTTGATTGACCCCAGAGGCCTGTAGAAGGGCTTGATGGAGAACAGCCTGGGTGTGCTCTGGCCCTTGGCCAGGTTTTGCCTGGAATTCTCCATCTGCTGGAACTGTTTGCGAGCAGCAGAGAAATCTATCTGCTCTGTGACGATGTCCTCCTTTGCTTTGTCAATCATGCTTGAATGTTCATGAGAGGAGGCAGGGGCTGTGGAGAGCTGCGGCGGGAACTGCTGCTGCTGTTGTAACTGCTGCTGCAGCAGCAACTGTTCCTGCTGAACCCGTCTTTCCTTGCGCTCCTTGTACTTTTTGTGTGATTCCAGATGTTCCTCATCCAGCTGCTCCTCGATGGATTTTTCCTGGGGGGGATTCCACCATTTCGCTGCAATGCCAGGATTCTTCTTCACCGCCTGGCTGCGGATGAGTTCCCTCCTCTCCTTCTCCAGCTCCAGCATTTCTTCTGAAGGCCTCACTTTCCTGACGCAGTACTGATCTTTTTCATGCTCATCATCCTCAAAGAGCTTGGAGGGCTTCTTGTCCTCATGGAAGGCACGCAGCTCGAACTTGGCCTCCTTCTTCAGCGTGGTAAGTGTGAACTCTCCATCACGGGAAGAACACCGGGAGCTGGTGGAGGAGCTGGGGCTCACAGGTGCCTGCAGGCTGTCCCCCAGCATATCTCGGGGCTGGCCAGGGGAGTGGCCATTCGCTCTTTCCCCCTCAGCCATTATGTCAGAGTCACTTTTACTGAGCTCAATGTGAGGAGGTGCCTGCCTACCAGCTGCTCTCTCGGTGGGTTCTGGCTGGAGGGCCGTGTGCACAGGGGGGTTTAGGCTGCCTCCAAGGACCACCACGCCAGGCTCCGGGGAGGATGTTCCGTTGTAAGTTCCATCCACAGCAGAATCACAGCAGTTGGCCTCCAGCACCTCGTCTAGATATCGGATCTCTCTGGCTACATCGTTATCCAGGGACTCGTGGTGATCAGTGAGGAGGCCATTATGAGGGGGTGCATAGAAAGGAGAGGGGTGGTCCATGGAATGTGGGGTAGAGGTGATCCCAGGAACACTTTTACATTCTGCCACAGACACCTCAATTTCCATGTTTTTGTGGTCTGGGAAAAGAGAACTGGGAGCAGGCTCCAGGAGGTTGGCACTACAGTTGTCTCTCTCGTTGTTCAGCCGGATGTCATCCTCAGAAAGCTGGGGAGGCTTCTAGAATGAAGAGAAAATAAAAGTCAGGGCTCAACACTACATCTCATGGATGTGAATGCTGAGAAATTCACCCAGTTAACAGTAAGGAAAACTGAAACCACAGTGACAAGTTATTCTGAATAGAGACTCCCCTTCTAATAATCTTTTTAAATATTTATTTTGCTGTGGTCATGGGGGCCCAACCCTCTCCAGTGTACAGATTTTGTTTTGCTTACTGGGTGTTCAATACTTATTAGATCCATTTTTAGATTTTATCTTCTAATGTAGAAGAATTGATATTATACCACAGTTTCCAAAATATTTCATAGCAAACTACTGTAGGCTATGTAATAGGACTATTTTTATGTCCCCAACTGTAAAAGGAAGGTCTTTTTACATGAATAGATCTTCTTTTTTTTAATTGAATTCATGTTTAATAATTACAGGCACCATACCTCCTCTTCCCCCACCCAGGCCACAGCAGGGGTGGTGCAGGGGCTGGGGAATATGCTCCCAGCAGTGAGGACGTGAATAGATCTTAAAAACATGTGATTCTCTGCCAGATATAATGCAACTATTCTGGAGACAAGAAACTTTTTGGAAAACCTTTTCAAAATAAAATGCTGGACAACAGTAGATTCTCTTCACTGGCCCCTCACAGGCCACTCCTATGGCTGTGCTTGACCATGTGCATTATAAACACCATGACCAAGGCTACTGACTGCCCAGTGCTGTTCTCTAGGACTGCACCAAAACAATACTCCTTAGTTAGGGAGTGAGTGTTGCTTTGAAAAGCTGGTGACAAACTATGAAAGAAAGAAAAAGAAAAGCTACTGACCAGCAGCACTTCCCCTCTGGCTTCTAAAATGCTTTCCATGTGATATCCCCAATCTGCCGCTCAATAAAAAAAAAACACATAAATAAGTGCATCATATTTTTCCACTAGTTATCTAGTCCATGTAACTGTGTTATTTGGCATTAGTTAGATTAATTTTCAAATTCTAGGATGATTTTCTTTTTCATGTCAGAGAACTCTGGTTTATCTCAGAGAATTCCAGTAAATTATGGACTTAATTGAGTTCTCCTCAAGGATTTCACTAACACCATGGTCAGCTTTGTCTCCCTGTTTCAAGTTTATAGTGTGCCTGACACTGTTGACATAGTACAACGCAAAATTGCAAGATGGTAGAATTTTTGTTTATTTAAGGTTTCAACAATTTTAAAGGCTTAGAATATAATATTAAACACCACCTTAAGATGATTCTCAGGAAATTAATTTCAAAATCCTTCCAAGGCAAATGGATAATTATGGGATTTGTTCATGAGACCTAGGAAAACCTGGGAGTTCCTCCTACGTGCTCTGCATTGATGTTAGAATGTTGAAAGTTCTCGTGGTTAACCATGAACTGAGGAGGTCTCCTTCACTCTCCATTCCCTAAATTCCCCTTCAAACTTAAATCAATTGAGTAATATACATTTCTTCTCTGGTAACAGGGAACAATAGCAAGTATTCCTTCTTTGTTAACACCTGGTCTCTGGTGTTCTTCCAGTCTCAGTCTAGTCTTTGTCAAATTCTAATCCTTAATACAATTAATATTTATAATTATTAATGTCTTTGTTTTTATTTTTGGCCATCAGTAACTAGTAGTTCTTTTATCTTTAGAATGAACTGAAGAGGCAAGTCACAGAAATTTTTGCTGCCATTTTAAAACCATTAAGTACACTTTTTTGGGTAAGATAATGGTAACTTCTCAAACATCATTAAGAACTACAGAGAATTTCAGCCTGGTCAACATCGTGAGACACTGCCTGTATAAAAAAATTTAAAAATTAGCCAGGAGTGGTGGCACGTGTCTGAAGTCCCAGTACTCAGGAGGTGGAGGAGGGGGGATTGCTTGAGTTCAAGGCTTTGATTGTGCCACTGCACTCCAGTTTGGGTGACCAAGTGAGACCGTGACTAAAAAAAAAAAGTTTGCAGATAATTTGAATGCCTGAAACTTACTGGCTGCCATTCAATTTCTAGTAAACCTAGGCCAAAGTCAGCCCACTCCATAGAAAACCATTATTGAAATAAACAGAGAGATACATGGTACCGCAAAAGTGAGAGTCAGATTACGTGGGCACCCCTTACCCCAAGCTTAATTTGGCCAGTTATTTACTGCTAGTATTCCTTATGGGAGCAGAACTTTCTTTCTATTCCTTTTGGCTTGGGGGGGTTGGAAAAAGTAGGAAGATGTTGGGACTGAAATATGGTTAAAAATCAGTGCTCTACTGAAGCATAGAATAATTGAGGGGAAGAAAGAGAGTAATGTAATATTAAAGGAAGCTGAAAGGCAAATAATTAATTCTATAGTACACTTATTAATGAAACAATGCAGTAAACATTCAGAAAGCTTATTCTGCAGGGCCATGATGAAATCAGCAGTCCCAATGAGTTCCAGGAGACAACACCCTTTTTCTTTTTTTTTTTTAGTTGGAGTCTCACTCTGTCACCCAGACTGGAGTGCAGTGGCCGCTCCCGGCCACTGCAGCCTCGACTTGCTGGGCTCTGGCGATCCTTCGGCCTCAGCCTTCCAAGTAGCCGGAATTACAGGCATGCGCTACCACGCCCAGCTGATTTTTTCTTTTTTAATTTATTGTAGAGATGAAGTCTTGCTGCCCAGGCGGGTCTCGAACCTGCGGGCTCAGGCAATCCACTCACCTCAGCCTCCCAAAGGCACGGGATTACAGGCTAAGCCACTGAGCCCAGCTGACAACACCCTTTTCTTAACAAAAATGTGGATTTCTCATACTTCCCAGGCCGCCATTACTCTGCTTTAAAGTTTTAATAGTCTGAATCGAGAAAGTGAAGAACTTGCTTCTATTTGTCTCTTGCTGGTAATCACAGGGATAGGAGTGATGGGACCTGTCTCCACAGCATTTCCCAAGAACATGTTTTGGCTCCTCACATCAGTATCGTACAATTCTCCTAAATGTTTCACGCCTCAAGTGTTTGATAGTGAATGAGCAGATGCCTGGTCAGCATTTTTTTTTAGAAAAAAATTATATCAACTCTTTCCAAGGCATACTTTTTAAACTAGAGACTATTTCAATACAAAATTTGAAGCACATTTGACAGTAGTACACTTTTGCAGTGTCCAAAAAAACTGCCTTCGTCTTTGAATTAAAAATGAGTAGTTACATCTTCTGTGAACTCTCAAACTGAGATTTTTTTTAAATGCTAATTACTTGTTAAAAGTCAAACTTTTAGATGATTTGAGATGATTCCTTTCCAATTAAAAAAAAATCTAGACACTGTAGGGTGTAAACAGAAAGAGTCTCCTTCCTGTGAGTTACATGGGGCCAGTCCCCTTTTTTTTCATAAATTCAGAAAATTCTTTCTGACCAATTCCATCTACTTAGGAAGCAGCAGTTCTGAACCCTAATCAGGGGAGAAGTACTTAAGGAGATAAACAACTCCATGTTACCGATTCACAGTCACACATCAGAGGTCCTGAATTTTTGTAAAGTCAGACAACAATTGTAACAAAAGAACAAGGTCCTGAATTCTACTGTCAGCAATAAGAATTTGCCTTTATGCATGGTGGCTTGATGTGATCAAAGCTACCAATAACTACACCAGGTAAATGGACACGGGGTGAAAATCTCACCTATCCAGATCTTCCAACAATGTCTTATTTAAACCAACAAAAGCTTATTGCTCCCTTTGAGGATAAGAAGAATCAGAATTTTCTTCATGCTTCAAAAAAGGTGAATTTGATTCCAGCTTCTGATAAAATATACATCTGTTGTATCAACTGGAAAGTCCTTTCTGAAATAAACTATACCCCAAAGCCAAAAGGGAAGATATGAAAGAACCACCAAACTGAGTTTTCTAAGGTCAGAGAAAAATTAGGATGCTCAGGGGCCTGTGGAAGATCTTTTGGCACTGCTAATCTTACAGGTGGAGCCCTAACACCAGGACACATAAACCTGCCCTCCCACGAGCTTCCCAAAATAGCTAACAGCTGGTTAGGATGTCTACAATTTACATTAAGATACTTCAGCAAGGACAATATAATACAGCTGTGTGTTCTATTCCAGGGAAGGACAACCATCCTAATTGCAACAGTGCCCTCAGGGAGTGGTCAACAAGGATCTAATCTGTAATCTCATGCTTCACAGGTGGCTTCCTCCAGTACTTAGCTCCCTTTAACTCCCAGGGATCCATGAAGCTTTACTAATTGGAATAATTAAGGTGAGAGTTGAGTTTTCATTAGAAAAATTAGTAGCTTGTCAATTAGCATGATGAATATTAGAAATCCTTGAAATTATAGCCTGGGCAACATAGCAAGACCTTGTTTCTACAAAAAAATTGAAAAATTAGCCGGGTGTAGTGGCACATGCCTACAGTCCCAGCTACTTGGGAAGCCAACACAGGAGGCTTGCTTGAGCTCAGGAAGTTGAGGCTGCAGTGAGCTATGGTCATGCCACTACATTCCAGCCTGAGCAACAGACTAAGACTCAAAAAAAATCTGTAAAATCGGTGATGTTCAAATGTGTGGATTAGAGATATCCCCCACCTGTCCATGAAGAGTCTATACAGAGTAAGCCCTTTGGTTTATACACTTCTAGGGATAGTGTTTGAGGTTTGAGGGGCTTTCGCTGTTTTAAATCCACCAAATGTTAACAGAATCCTGTCTTCATAAAATTGCCACTTCTGTCTTCACTAAAAATGGGGTTGGAGCATCTAGAAACTTAGAAAGCTGAAACTTCTTTATACCATTTTTTACAAATATTTAATAAATGTCTCTATGACATTCTAAGGTCCCTGAGCATCCTAATTTTTCTCTGACCTTAGAATGTCAGAATGTCATTTAACATCTTTTGTTGGTTTAAATAAGACATTGTTGGAAGATCTGGATAGGTGAGATTTTTCACCCCATGTCCAGAATTTGGTCCAAGATACACTTTTAATATACCCTGGTAGCTAGGTTGCATCTAAAGCTACCGTATTTACCAAAAAGTGTTTAATAGTTATG